CACAAAAGGTTGTTTTCAATCATTTGCTTTTTAAGAGAACTGCCTAGAACCATCTGGTAGAAGGTCCATGGTTATGATGGATGGATGAAGCTGACAATGCCTAAACTGTCTAATCAGTGTTACCATCACTAGAAGTGGTCACTTAACCAGATGTTAAGTGCCTCCTAGAGGGATGAAAAAGAAGTACACCAACCCTAGGTCTTGCACAAAAAACAAAAACTCCTCCCCCCAACTCCACCGAAGCTGAATGAAAGGAAGCCTGCAGATCTAACTGGCAGTTTACAAGATTGCTGAGGATGGCAAAGTGTGCTCAAGACACCTCAACGATGCAGACCAAATCCAGTATGAGGACAAATTCTATAAGAATTTGAAGAAGCCTTAGTTTCTTCAACAAATAAATGGTATTTAAAAGGGAGTTTCTGGGACTTCCCTGGTGGTATAGTGGATAGGAATCTGCCTGCCAATGCAGGAAACACGAGTTTGATCCCTGGTCCAGGAGGATTGCACATACCACGGGTCAACTAAGCCCGGGCACCCCAACTACTGAAGCCCATGTGCCTAGAATGTGGGCACCCCAACAGGAGCAACCGCCTCAAGGAGATGCCCGCACACTGCAATGAAGAGTAGCCCCCACTTGCAGCAACGAAGACCCAAAGATAAAATAAGAGGGAGTTTTTATTACAGAGTAAGAAAACTTTTAAAAGACACATCAAATGTAACGCATGGAAATGTTTAAATCCTAATTCAAACATGCCAATGGTGGAAAGACACTTCTGAGACAGAAAACTGAACACAGACTAGATATTTCTATTGTTGTCATTTAGTTGCTTAGTCGTGTCCAACTCTTTGCAACCCCATGGACTACAGCACGCCAGGCTCTTCTGTCCATGGGATTTCCCAGGCAAGAATACTGGAGTAATCCTGACAACATGTAGCAGTGTTTAATAAAGTGTTTACAGATGAAATAATAGGATGCCTGGAATTCATATTAAAATACTCAAGCCAAAAAAATTAAAAAAGGAGAGGAAAAAAGGGCAGGGAATAGCTGAAGAAAGAGTGGCAAAAATATTGAAGTGATTGAGGTGATGGGTAAAAGGGGATTCATTATATACTCTACTTAATAATGTATGTTTGAAAATGTCCATAAAATTTTTTTGAAAAATGTATTTGGCTGCGCCTGGTCTTAATTGCAGCATATGGACTCTAAGTTGTGGCATGTAGGATCTCGTTCCCTGATCAGGAATCAAACCTAGGCCACCTGCATTGGGAGGATGGAGTCTTAGTCACTGGATCACCAGGAATTCCCCATGATAAATTTTAAACTTGCAATAAAGACTCACATATTTGTGTTTTCCTAAGTGTGATCCCTTATCTCTAGGTGAGAAAAGTGGAATTCCTAAATTTAAGGAAGGAAAATTTTTACCTCAACAAGAAATCGCCAAATTTTTCTCCAGGTGTTAGTAATGAAGGGATTCAGGATATTCTACCCCCAAATAAGCACCTTGGCATGCTCAACATTTTAAGCCAACTGCACTAGAAAAACAACAGGTGCAGAAAGGACTCCCTGACCTTCCCCTGAAGCAGGTCATAAAACCCTCACATGAGAGGTGCCCTCCCTTTGCCCAGAGGGAAGGAGTATGTTTTCTCCAAGACTGAGGAACGCCAAGAGGAATCTGAACACAGAGGCCTTGCTGTTTCAGCTAGTTACACACTTATACTCCTTTCCATCCTATCACATTTTGTCACACCCTCCACTCTTCATCAAACATAGCAAAACACTCAGGTTTAACCAATTCTTCAGGTCATTTCATTATGAAGGCTCCTGGTCACATCAAACTTAAATAAATCTGTATTTTTTTATCTTGTTAATCTGCCTTTTGTTACAGGGTCCCAGCTAAAAAATTTGATAGGTAGATATCTTTCCTCCTCTTACAGTAACAAATTGCCTTCTTACCAGTTTTCCCATAATCCTTAAACCCTTGTTGATATTTTAATTTGTTAATTTGATGGATAAAATGGTATCATATAATTGGTTTTTTTTTTCCGTATAATTGTTTTAAATGATGTTTTCCTAGTGGTTGTACTTCTTCATTCTTTTTATACTACCTACATTTCTTATGAAAGTTACTTTTCATATCCTTTGCCCATTATTTCCTTGCCTTTTTCTTATTATAGTTTTTCACCTGTTGTTTAGCTGCTCAGTTGTCTCTGACTCTTTGTGACCCTATGGACTGCAACCTGCCAAGATCCTCTGTTCATGGGATTTCCCAGGCAGAAATACTGAAGCGGTTTGCCATTTCCTTCTCCGGGGGATCTTCCTGACCCAGGAATCAAAACAGCATCTCCTGCTTGGCAGGCAGATTCTTTACCACTGAGCCACCTGGGAAGCCCATAGTTTTGTCATATTCTGATACTCAGTTTTTATTATGTTACAAGTATTGCTTCCCAATTTGTTCCTTATATTTTAAATTTTTTATGCAAGCTATCTTGTATCCAACCCTTTAAATTGTAACATGACCAAATCTGTCATAATTTTTTTGCCCCGTCATGATTTTGCTGTGTCTTGAGTGACACCCACATCCCAAGTTCTTATGCAGATGACACCACCCTTATGGCAGAAAGTAAAGAGTAACTAAAAAGCCTCTTGATGAAAGTGAAAGAGAAAAGTGAAAAAAGTTGGCTTAAAACTCAATATTCAGAAAACTAAGATCATGGCATCCAGTTCCAGCACTTCATGGCAAATAGATGGGGAAACAAAGGAAACAATGAGAGACTTCGTTTTATGGGGCTTGAAAATCACTGCAGATGGTGACTGCAGCCATGAAATTAAAAGATACTTGCTCCTTGGAAGAAAAACTATGACCAATCTAGAAAACATATTGAAAAGCAGAGACATTACTTTGTCAACAAAGGTTTGTCTAGTCAAAGCTATGGTTTTTCCAGTAGTCTTGTATGGATGTGAGAGTTGGACTATAAAAGCTGAGCGCCAAAGAATTGATGCTTATGAACTGTGGTGTTGGATAAGACTCTGGAGAGTCCCTTGGACTGCAAGGAGATCCAACCAGTCCATCCTAAAGGAGATCAGTCCAGGGTTTTCATTGGAAGGACTGATGCTGAAGCTGAAACTCCAATACTTTGTCCACCTGATGCAAAGAACTGACTCTTTGGAAAAGACCCTGATGTTGGGAAAGACTGAAGACAGGAGAAGGGGATGATAGAGGATGAGATGGTTGTCTGGCATTACCGACTCGATGGACGTGAGTCTTGAGTAAGCTCGGGGAGTTGGTGATAGACAGGGAAGCCTGCTGTGATGCAGTCCATGGGGTCGCAAAGAGTTGGACATGACCTAGCAACTGAACTGAACTGATCATGGATTTTAATAAGAATGCTTAATTTTTTGCCACCAAATGTTTATCTTACATTTTCACACATACGGTTTATCTAAAATAATATGGTATTTTCTTCCTTTAGTCTGTTAGTCTGACCTTGACTTACTTGAAACATCTTGCATTTCAGAGATAAATACTATTGGTCAACATTCTTTTACTATCTTCAGTCAAGTTGTTGCTGTTGTTTAGTCACTAAGTCAAGTACCAAATCTAAAATATGTAGGCAAGTCTTTCTTACTCTTCTTTTTCCCCTAATTTGGGACTTTCTGGAGCTAGGACAGGGCAGGGTCCCTTACCCAGGGCCATGTTTTCTCACTCCCCAAAACACACACGTGACTCAAGGTTCTCTTTTTAAAATCCCAATGTGGGTATAATTTCTAAAATTTTGATCCGTTACTACAGGGCCTAATGTTACAAATGACTGTTGAGAGAGCACATATTAAAGATGGCTTAAAGAAAGTAGGAGATCATATTAAGCAACTGAGGATGTAAATCAATGGCCTTGGATGAGTTTCTTAACCTCTCTGCGCCTCAATTTCCCTAAATGTAAAATGAAACCAGTAAGATTCTGAGTTACAGATTTGTTTTGAAAAGCCCACAATAAACTGCATGAAAAGCAACCAGTACAATGCCTAGCACACATACAGGTATTAATGTTTTAGCTGTGAACATTAAAAAACAGAGCAGAACCCTATGGTCCCTGCCCTCCACGACGTCTGCCTGCCTTTTATCTGTGGAAAAACTTTTAGACAAAGAATAATTTTAATTAGAAAAGTGAGAAAATGCGGAAACAAAGAAAAACAGTCAAGGAAACCAAATAATAGCTTAGTCATTAAGCAAAGTCAAGGAGCTCCTTCTCAAGGGCTATAGATAAATATTTGAGCCATATCTTGTGAGCCATCTTACAAATACTGAAACCCTCCCACCAGGTGGAAGAAGTTAACTACATGGTGCCCATGATATAAGCTGCCATAATTTCAAGAACTGGTTTCACTGAAATAGTAAACACTGACCCTGGAACTGAAGACTAACTACGTAAAACCCTGAAGATGACCACGGTCACACCACCAACAACCAATTTGAAGATGACTGTCTCTGTTTCTATGTGTAACCCCCTCTCTTTGTCTGTAAAACCTATTGCCCCCTGACTGCTTGGGGGCCTAGTGGGGGTGGTGAGGGGGTGGGGGGCGCGGCGGTCAGCCTTTGGATAGGTATCTGCCTCCTCCTCCTCCTCGTCCCCGCCTTGCCAGCATCCAAAATAAAGTAAGCTTTTCTTTCCACCAACTTTGCCTCTTCATTGGCTTTTGGGCAGCAAGCAGAACCATACTTTTGGTTACATTACTGTCACTAACTGCTTTGAGGGCAGCTTCAGACACTGGTGGGCAGCGAGGGGAAACTCCCCAGGGTCAAGAGGCCAACTCCCAGTTTGCAGTCTCCACTCTGCCTCACGTTAGGCCCCTGCCTCCTTCTAGGCTTGAAAAATGGTGGATAATACGACCACGCCGCAGTGACTAGTGGCTGGGATTAAAGGACGTGAGCTCCTGGAACCTCCCCTGGCTCACCTGCCCGCAAAGAGTGACTGTTTCTATGGCCCGTGTTTACTTTCCACAGCTCCACCAATAGTAAGTGCCTAGCTTGTGATCGCCCGCCATCCCCGCGCGTATGGGAACCTTCGCCTACTCTACTCCGCTCACCCCACGCCCTGCCGCCCGCAGACGGCGGCGGCGGCAACTTCAAACTCAAGAGAGACCAACCGGCCATTCACCTGTGTAAGAGGCCCGCCAAGAACAAAATGGCCACCCTGCGCGCAGGCGCAGTATGTGCCGCGCCCTGGCTGGTGACCCCGCCCCCAGACTCGCTCGCCGCCAGCCCCTCCCAGGGCGGCTGGGGAGGGGCCTGAGGGCAACACGGGCTCGGATTGGACAAGGCCTAGTCACGAGGGCGCCATTCTCTTCCGGGCTGTGTGCCCCCAGGGTCTAACGTGTGGAGCGGTGGCTCGGAGCGTTCCCTCGGCTCATCTGCCCCTGCTGTATGCGGCAGCTTCTTCCGGGGTTTGCAGCCCCAGCTGGCCGCGCCTGGAAGCCCTCTAGGGGCGATCGTTTTAAGGCGAGGAGAACGTGTCTGTGACTACCCTGTGCGGGTTAATTTTGGAAGTGATGGTTAAGGCTCTTGGCTTGAGTCTCCTTTATTTATGCTGTTAATTTTGATGGAGCCCAGCTGGAAGCTGCTCCAGTTAACAATGAGTTCTCAGTCTGGAGAGTTAAAGGCACTTGAATTGTAGGTACTGATTTTGTTCCGCTATGGGGGCTTCCATTTGAGCAGTCGGTAGTGAAGTTACAAATTTTTAAGAACATCCAAGTTATCTGAAAACGTGTGGTGAATGGAGCGAATGAGAGGAAACTGTTGCAGGAGCTTATCTTCTCCGTATAAAGTATACCCAGAGTGTATCTTCTGCAAGGCCTTGTCTTTAAAATTTGTTTCTTTAAAGCAAAGCTGAAAAACAACGAAGGGAAGCAATTTGAGTACAGACTCCTACATCTACATTTTTACAGTTTTTCCCATTCTTTTATGGTTGCTCACCCACAGCTAATTTGACTGCAGTTTTTAAGCATTATCAAGTGTGTCCAAAGCGTTCAAATTTGTTTTCATAGATTCAGTAACTTTGAATTAATTTTATTTTTTATATGACACTTATCTAATTGAAATTGCAATATACTGGTCATAAACAGGCTTTCAAGCAAAGATAGCTGAAGCTTATTAAAGATTATTTCTGCTCATGGGGGACAGGAGTGCCCAGGTGTACTGAGACGATGCTGTGAAAGCGCTGCACTCAATATGCCAGCAAATTTGGAAAACTCAGAAGTGGCCACAGGACTGGAAAAGGTCAGTTTTCATTCCAATCCCAAAGAAAGGCAATGCTGAAGAATGCTCAAACTACTGCACAATTGCACTCATCTCACACGCTAGTAAAGTAATGCTTAAAATTCTCCAAGCCAGACTTCAGCAATACGTGAACTGTGAACTTCCAGATGTTCAAGCTGGTTTTAGAAAAGGCAGAGGAACCAGAGATCAAATTGCCAACATCTCCTGGGTCATGGAAAAAGCATGAGAGTTCCAGAAAAACATCTATTTCTGCTTTATTGACTATGCCAAAGCCTTTGACTGCGTGGATCACAATAAACTGGAAGATTCTAAAAGAGATGGGCATACCGGACTGTCAGGAAGCATTTAACAGAGGAACTCTCCGGCCCTTATTGATTCCTGAATATTCAGGAATTAAGAGGAGAGGCACGCCTTTCCCGGGGCTGAGGAATCCAGGCATTTCTCATTATGGTGATAAGTACCCTCTTCCATTTTATGAGCCACACGGTAAAAGGTGATTGTTTGCAACTCTCTGTCTTTGATAGGGAGGTAAAAAGTGATTGTTTGCAACTCTCTCTCTTTGATAGGGATCGTCTTATGTTTTGTAAGTCTGGAATTTTAATCTTTGTCTTTGCTGAGAATAAGCACCTTGTAAGACAGTATATATGCCCACGCCATGTTGATGAAAACACCTTTGCTCCATCAGAGCTTTGGTCCCCGTGTCTTTCTTTCTATTCCTTCTTTCTGTCTTTCTCTCTCTCTCTCTATTTTTGGCTAATTCCTTGGAGCGCGGAGGCCCGCAGAGCTCACTTTCTTGCCTGGGCTTCTAAGACCCTCTCGAGAAGGCACACTGCCTTCACCCACTCGAGAGGGCGCCCGGTGCCTATGTGCAGCAGTGTGAGCCCTAAGAACAGGGCTCTATTGGCTTTCCGCGTAAACCAGGGATATCAGCCTCTTTCTCTCTCTTACTCTCCGGGCCACCAGGTTCCGTCCGTTAAAGGACCAACAAGCGCTATCAGCCTCTTTCTCTCTCTTACTTTCTTATCGTTGACTCCGGACCACCAGGTTCCGGTCCATTAAAGGACCAACACCAGACCACCTGACCTGCCTCTTGAGAAACCTTTATGCAGGTCAGGAAGCAACAGTTAGAACTGGACATGGAACAACAGACTGGTTCCAAATAGGAAAAGGAGTAGGTCAAGGCTGTATATTGTCATCCTGCTTATTTAACTTATATGCAGAGTACATCATGAGAAACGCTGGCCTGGAGGAAACAAGCTGGAATCAAGATTGCTGTGAGAAATATCAATAACCTCAGATATGCAGATGACACCACCCTTAATGGCAGAAGAAGAACTAAAGAGCCTCTTGATGAAAGTGAAAGAGGAGAGTGAAAAAGTTGGCTTAAAGCTCAACATTCAGAAAACAAAGATCTTGGCATCCGGTCCCATCACTTCATGGCAAATAGATGGAGAAAGAGTGGAAACAGTGGCAGACTTTATTTTTGGGGCTCTAGAATCACTGCAGATGGTAAACTGCAGCCATGAAATTAAAAGACACTTATTCCTTGGAAGGAAAGTTATGACCAACCTAGATAGTATATTAAAAGGCAGAGATATTATTTTGTCAGCAAAGGTGCATCTTGTCAAGGCTATGGTTTTTCCAGTGTTCATGTATGGATGTGAGAGTTGGACTATAAAGAAAGCTGAGCGCTGAAGAATTAATGCTTTTGGACTGTGGTGTTGGGGAAGACTCTTGAGAGTCCCTTGGACAAAGGAGATCCAACCAGTCCATCCTAAATGAGATCAGTCCTGAGTTTTTATTGGAAGGACTGATGTTGAAGCTGAAACTCCAATACTTTGTCCACCTGATGCAAAAAGCTGACTCATTGGAAAAGACCCTGATGCTGGGAAAGATTGAGGGCAGAAGGAGAAGGGATGACAGAGGATGAGATGGTTGGATGGCATCACCGACTTGATGAACATGGGTTTTGGTGGACTCCGGGAGTTGGTGATGGACAGGGAGGCCTGGCATGCTGCAATTCATGGGGGTCGCAAAGAGTCGGACACGACTGAGAGACTGAACTGAACTGTGAGTACCATGTAGTAGCCCATTAGCCATATGTGCTTTGCATCTCATAGGTATCAAGTTAATAACTCCTGTTTGGAATTGAGATGGTCATTTAATCCTTTCACAGACATAACTTGGTGTGACATAGTTAAGTAGACATAGGTAGGAGAGCGACTACTGTCCTGTGGTGTCCACATTATGGTGCATTAACTCTCTATACCAGTCAGATCCAAAAAATTTCCTGATGAATGTAACTTTTGTTTTGAAACCCAGACTGTATTAGCTCAGAGGAAAATAGGAATAGTCACATTATACTTTCCTTAAACTGAAATGCACATGATATGATTCTAGACTGTTCACACCGGCAACCCTTCGTCATTCCTCTTTAAAACGTGTTGCCTGTAACAGTTTGCTTTGATTGGTGCAGCATATAGTAGTAGTATCACAGTTAGATTAACTTTTAAGCTAACAGGCCCTACTATTGGCTCCTCAAAATTATTTAATTCAATCTCCAGTCCCTTTCACATGCCTTCCCTGATCCCATGTCATTCCTATGCCTGATGAACTGGTTCTTCTTCTGTTTGCTTATAGATTTTGTTCATAACCAATAATGCTGATCACATTTTATTGTAGTTACTCATCTCTTCCTGTGATGTGGGTTGAGATCTGTATGTGTAATCAGTTATGTTTTATGTTTTGCTGGGCCTGCCATGATATCACAGATGTATGGGTGGTTGAAAAAAACAGAAATTTACTTTCTTACAGTTCAGGAGGCCAGACAGCAAAGATCAAGTTGTTGGCACATTGGTTACTTCTGAGGCACCTCTCCTTGACCTGCAGATATCTGACCTATCGCTGTGTTTTCATAAGGTCATCCACCTCCCATAGTTCTTCATTTTTGGCTTTTGTATATGGTGAGTCTTCTTTCAGTGTTCTGCTAAAATTTTCATCTTTAGTCATTGAGTTTTATAATACCATGCCCAATTTTTAGTGGTTCTGGATGGGAATTGATGGTGTAATTGGGAAGCATGAGGTCCAACTTTGGGGGCCTGGCTCTCATTCTTGAGTGTGTTTCAGGTACCAGTGTGGGTCCCTCTCTTTTGGTGTTCTGCAGAGCTCAGTCGTGTCTGACTCTTTGTGACCCTTTGGTTGGACTGTAACCCTCCAGGCTTCTCTGTCCATGGGATTCTCCAGGCAAGACTACAGGAGTGGATAGCCATTTCCTACTCCAGGGAAGCTTTCCAATTAAGGGATGGAAACTGCATCTCTTGCATTGCAGGTGTATTCTTTACTGCTTAGCTACCAAGGAAGCCCCCTTTAGTGTTTTACTTGTGTGCGGAGATTTGGGATTCCACAGGCACATGGAGCCACTTAGACAGTAGTTGATTTGGTGTATTTTCTTAGGCGGTAGCTTGCGTAGGTTTTAGAAACCTAGATTCTTTCCTGCAGAGATTCTGATTTTAAAGCTCTAAGTGAAGTCCCAAGAATTTTTCCTCTTTTTTTCTTAGGCAAGCATGCCAAGTAATCCTGGGGCTGGTGATCCTTTTACTGCACACTGAGAAATTCGCACTCAGAAATCAGCGCAGATGCTAACACATGGGCCTGAGCAGACCTTGCACTTGCTGACTGTGCAGTGTGACTGCCACCTCCTGGCCACAGGGGAGACATCTCTTTATTGTTGCTCGTCCTCCTCTAGCTCAGTTGGTAAAGAGTCCACCTGCAATGCAGGAGTCCCTGGTTCAGTTCCTGGGTCGGGAAGATCCCCTGGAGAAGGGCTAGGCTACCCATCCCAGTATTCTTGGTTTTCCCTTGTAGCTCAACTGGTAAAGAATCTGCCTGCAATGAGGGAGACCTGGGTTGGGAAGATCCCCTGGAGAAGGAAAAGGCTACCCACTCTGTTATTCTGGCCTGGAGAATTCCATGGACAGTCCATGGGGTTGCGGAGAGTCAGATTCGACTTTCACTTTGACTTTTTTACTTTCCTCCTCCAGGTTGTTGTCCTTCAGAAGAATAGTAGGAAGATTACTACTGCTTCAGGAAATAAAATCAAGAAAAAAAGTTTCTTGGTCCTGTTTGCTGAGAAGTTAATATCACCACGTAGGAAGGGAGCCACAGGGGCCAAATTTCCAAAAGACAGGAGGAGTGCCAAGCTCAAGGACCATGAGAAGAGGGCTGAGGGTTTTTTTAATTATTTCAAAATAAAAGGTTGAATGACAGTGAATTTTTTTTGTCTTAGATGTGTGTATATAGTCAGACTTACGAGCAGTTACTCCCAAAGATGAATTTGTTATTTTCATTCTCAGCAAGTCTGTGCGGCAGTAATTGATTAGGTGGGTTTTCATTTAGATTCTAGAAAAGAAACCTTGTGTCCTACACGGGCTAAGGGGAGAGGAGCCTTTCCCTGGGGGTGAAGGAAAATGAGCAGGATCGTGAGGGTGACGACAAAGGCTGAGAGGAAGAGGAAGGTCAGAAAGACTGAAACCACATTGCAGGTGGATTCTTTGCCAGCGGAGCCACCAGGGAAGATCCTGGTATGGACTGCAGCACACCAGGCTTCCCTGTTCTTCACTGTCTCCCAGTTTGCTCAAATTCATGCCCTTTGAGTCGGTGGTGCTGTCTAACCATCTCATCCTCTGTCACCCTCTTCTTTTGCTTTCAGTCTTTCCCAGCATTATACCATAGCCTGGATCTGCTCCCATGGCTTGGACCACAGAGAGTTCGGTGCTTTATTTGATGAGTTAGATGCACAAAACAGAAGAGTGTTCTGCTCCAAGGGACTGAAGTGGCTGAGTCATGGTGTAGTCCTAAGGCAGTTTTTGGAACTGGTGGAAGAAATTGACTTTTTCATGTCCTCTGGAGGAGAATCTGTGCCTCAGCTTACAAGCAGAGATTGGGTCAGAGACTTTGCCTTTTTGGTCGTCATTGTGACACATCTAAACATGTTGGCTATTTCTCTAGAAAGGCATTCACAGGTGGTGACACAAGTGTATAATTCAGTTGACTCATTTCTGGTGAAATTGTGTCTTTGGGAGACTCATTTGGCACAGAACAACCTGGCCCACTTTCCTATGCTGGAGTTAGTTTCTGAAAATGAAAATGATGGCCTGAACTACATTCCTCAAATTAAAAGAGTTGAAGACTAAATTCCAAAAAAGGTTCTCCAATTTCACACATTATGAGAATGAACTAATACTGTTCAGTTCCCCTTTCTCAATTAGGATTCATAATGTGAATGAAGAGCAACAAATGAAAGTTAGTGAACTGCAGTGCAATACTACACTGAAAGCCAGATACCACGATGTTGAGATTCCAGAATTCTACAGATATCTTGGGAATGGTTACCCTAAATATAAACACCATTGTGCAAAGATTCTGTCCATGTTTGGAAGTACTTATGTTTGTAAGCAGCTATTCTCTGTTATGAAACTAAAGAAAAACTAAATGTGGCTCCCAGTTAAAGGATTCAAGGATGAATTCTCTGCTGTATGTTGCAACACGAGGTCCACCGCCTGTTGTTGACTGACATCTTGAGGAATAAGAAAGGAATGTCAGATTTTGAATTTCAAATCTGAAGAGTAATAAATCATGGAAATTTGAACAGTTATTTCTATTTCCAAATTATATATTTTTTCAATGTCAAATTTAAAGTGCAATCTCTGGCATTGTATATTTGTACCTTATAGCATGTAAAAATAACATTTGATTATATCCTGGCAGTTTATTTTTTTCTATTCTTTGCCTTTCTAGCACTTAGACTATTCAAATTTATAAACCTCTGCCCTAAAGGCAGCCACACTTTCCTTTAAGGTACTTGTGAACCAGGGCGTCAGCTAGAAGGATAGAATCTTTAGACTCTTTGTGCAACCCTGTCCTGTAGGAAGACAGACATACCAAACTGACTGAGGGGCTCAGGCCAGGTGTGCACTCATGGGCCTTCACCAGAGTAAATTCTCTGGGCATCACATGAGCCACAGGCTGATTTCCAGGGGTGGGATTCCTCTTCCATTCTGCCAGGCTCTGAGAAGGCCAGAGAACCACCCTGTCGTCCAGGGAAGGAGAGGCAGATGGCATCAGTGACCCTCAGGGCAGCCTCCCAGCGGAGGTCCTGGCCACTGAGGAGGAAAAACTCAGCTGGACAGTCACCGTGGAGCAAAGGGGGATAGAGGCTGTAGGACCGGTCTCAACCCACGGCTCCAGTCTTGGCTGGGCCATCAGTGCTCCCCAGAAGT